ATATATATATATATGGGCACGCATGCACGTGCAAAACCCCCTGAGTGCGATGCTGGATGGCGGATCGTCAGCGGCGGACGCGAGGCGTAGAAGATATTATTTTCGCACACATTAGTACGACGCCACTCCAAAACGGAAAATACACTGACGTTTCGAGGCGACTACGCATGCTAGGGAGTGGAGTGAGGGGTGCAGAAGAGGGGTAGCAGCAGCACGAGCGCACGCACAAGCAACAGCTACAGACGTCATGCTTTCTCACGCATACAAAGTACAAACGCACAGAGGCCTGGCCAGTAGCCACCACGCCTCCGCTCTCTCCCCCTCCCCACCGCACTCCTAAACCATCTGTCTATAAAGTACAATAGCAGAGCAACAAGGACGTGTCAAAGCATATAATATGATTGTACAGCCTGTCAGACACTTTTTTGTTTGTTTTCCTTTCCCTTTTGGCTCTTTATTGATTGACGTTGTTGTTTTCTTTTGCGCCCGGCTATTTTGTTGTTGTTGTTGTTNCTGCATGCCGCTCCTTGCTAGGCGGGAGAATTTCGCGTTTTCCGCATTAAATCATTGGATTCATTTTTTTTTCTTTCGTTTGCTTCCGAAATCCCTTTCACTTTCGTTGCCACCCGTTGCTGTGTGTGAGAGTGTGGGACGCACACGCACGCACACACCAGTAAACAAGACGCAGAAAAAAAAGAGGCACAACCCCCTCCCAAAAAAAGAAAAGGAAATAAAATTTGGGAAACAGAACACTTGATTGGCAATAATGGGGATGGCGTTGGCAACCGGAAGGGCAAGGGCCCTCCTCCGCCCCTTTTGTGTCCGGTCCACTGAGCCCACGCACACACACACACCTATATATATATATATATAATATAAACACAGAGACGCAAGTCATCGGGCTTGCGGTTTGGCAACATTCAGTCGGGAAANTATATATATATATATAATATAAACACAGAGACGCAAGTCATCGGGCTTGCGGTTTGGCAACATTCAGTCGGGAAAACAGAAGAAGACGAACGTGAGAGAGGGATAGGGATAGGGATAGGGAGGAGGAGGAGGAGGAGGAAGAGGAAGAGTGGGTGGGGAAGGAGGGGGAGGGACGCAGAGTGAGAAAAAAGGCCCAAAGGTTGAGGATATGCCGCAAGCAGCACGCATCATATTGACCACACATTGTTCTTTGTTCTTTCACCTTTTACTTTCCTCTCTTACTGTTAAGCCCCCATCTCACCTCGCCCGCCCGGATTGTCTCATACGTACAACGTTAGGAATGCGTCTTTTATTGGCGTTCTCCCCATGTATGTGTGTGTGTGTGTTTCTTCCATCGTAGCTCACTGTGTTTTATCTGCTGTATGCCTCTCACATCATTGAAGACCCATCAACTGAGTCAGAATTCCATCGTCATTGTCGCTATTGTTGTTGCTGCTGTTCTTCATCGTACGGAGTTGACGGGAGACGCTCGCATCGGTTGAGAGACGTAGGCAGGCGCACTTCAGTGTCGGACAGCAGCAGCTCAAGTCCGTTTGCCGTGAAACAACAAAAACATAAACCCAGAATCATATATGCCTGCTGCAATTGGCCAACCGCGGACCACATCAAGCCGTCCGGCGACCGACACAGAGAGAGAAAATGACCGAATGGACGGAGGAGAGGAGAGGAATAGAGTGCAGCACGCCTACACCTTCTTCGCGAGCTCCTCCGCGTGTTGCATCTCCAGCAGTGCCTTCTGCAGCTCGCCCAGCTGCACAGTGAGGGCACGCACACCAAAGAGGAACGCCTCCAGGCTGTGAATGTCTTGATTCGACAGAACAAACTCCTTTCGCTCCGGATCAAAGAAGTTAAGCTGGCGCAGCATCTCCGCGCCCTCTTGCGAGGGGGCGACCGAGGTGCGGTCGCCGGACATAGAGGAGTGCGCTGACGGCGAAGAATATGAGCCAATGGACCCCTTCAGTGGTTTGCTCTGCGTTACGGGTTCAATGATGTTCCTCGCGGACAACAGCATCCGCACCGTATCGGGGTCAGACGACGTCCCTGTCTTTACCGTCGGTACCTGCTGCTGCTGCTGCTGCTGGTGCTGCTGCTCTTGCGCCTGTTGGTTGCCCTCGTGCTGCTGCTCCTCTCTGTTAGTCATCTCCTCTTCAAGAGCGCCAGACTCTGGTAGCCCCCCTTTGTTGCCATGCGAAAGGTATCTCTCGCCCTTGGCGCCGTCTCCGCCCTGCATGGTTATGTCGAGGCTGTTGTGCAGCTTCTTGTGTGATTCGTCGTTGGCATCCTTCGCGTTGCTCTTCTCGTCGTCATTGTCACTGAGATCCACGACGGGATGCCGCAACGCCCTATTGAACAAGCCAAAAAACGACCGGTTAAGGGTGAAACTTTCCTTGAACTTTTTATCCTTCTTTTCGTCGTCGCTGGCGTTGTCGTCATCGTTGCCCTTCCCTTTGCGTGCGCTGGCAGCTGCCTTACTCAAGAGGTGCCGCTTCAGCTCCTCCTCCTCCTCTGGCGTGAGGTTGTACATCAAGTAGCCCTCCCGCTTCTTCCTGGCAGCGTCCATCGCGATTTGCCGCGAACCCTGCAAATCCATAGACCACCGGTCGTGGTTGCTTACACTAGCTGGCAGCTGGCTGGCGCTGCCACAGTTGCTTCTGTTTTCGCCATCCCCACCACTGTCCTCGTCGGAGATGTCGCCGCCAAGTCTGCGGCAGATTGTTTGGATGTACACCTCGGTGATGTTCTGCTCCGCCTCCAGCATCCCGTGACGCAGGCGAGTGAGATGACTCGTCGGCACCACTGTTGTCTTGCCGAGGGACAGCAGGTAGAGGTCAACGGCGGCGTAGAGTAGGTCACACAAGTCCTTTGCGTAGGGCGAGATGCGGCGCAGAACGACCCAGTGCACTGACAGCTCCGTTGTGTCGTCAGCTTTGCTCGACATGAAGGTAAAGTACGCGAACCTCATCATGGACACAATCGACCACAGATTCATCTGTGTGTCTATGAGTTTCTCCCACGACGCCGCTGGGAAGTCGGCGCCGACAAGCGTCGGCTCCGTCGAGGCACCAGGGAGGAAGATGGCCTGGCGCGAAATCTTCTTGTACCATTCCTTGAGTACATCATTGGTGACGGAGTTCACCTCGCCTACATCCTCCGGCATGTCAAGGTTGCGCAACAGACGACACGCCGTCTCGCGGAAGCAGCGCAAACTCACGTCAAAAGACATGTGCACCTTTCGCTTCGCCCGCATCGGCCACAGCACCATCGTAATGCAGAAGTAGATGAGAATAGCAAACACGTTCTGCTGAATACGAACCATGGCCGCACTGTCGTCCTTGTACTGCGTAATGACGGAAATAACACTGTTGCAAATCGCGTTACCCGCCGCAAAGTAACTAGGGCTGGTTTGAATGTACGATCCAATAAAGGAGAGGACGGCTACGGCGATGTACAGCACGAAACGCTTCCCCATCGCTATCTGCACTGCGAGCAGGGCGGTGAGGGAGCCAAGTACGGTGCCAAGCACTCGATTCACGGCGTACGTGAAACTCTGTGCGCCGGTCTGGTTGTACACAAAGGCAATGATTGCCGCACCAGCAACTGGACTTGTGCCGCTGCTGTGGAGCGCGTACACCTGAAATACACCGGGCAACGTCATACACAACGCGAGCTTAATTGCCTCCTTCGCGCGCCGTGTGATGGTGCGTTGGTGAATAATAGTGGTGATGAGAGCGGAGAAGGCCCTGAATGAACTGAGCACGTCGTTGATAGGTGTCTTCATCCACTCCAGTATCGTGCTTGGGTACTCTTTGTCAGGGTCGAAGCGGCTAATCACCTCGCAGAGCTCATCCACACTGAACATAAAGAACCCAAGCAGCACGTCGGACTCATCGGTTTCGTACATTTCGTTGTTAAGAATCACCTCCTGCCGCACCTCCGAGAGGCGTTCCTGAAAGCGCTCCCGCGCCTCCCTGAACATCTGAACGTCATCATTCTCCACCGGGTGCTTGAAGTCTGAGATCTTGAGGATCATGTTGTCCATCGCGGAGGAGATAATGGCGAGGTCCTCCGCGATGGCATTTCCAAATGACACGCAGAGTGGAGTGTCGATGCGCTGCGGGCTGTCGCCGATGAGCTCAATCACCTGCACCATGGAGGAGAGGATGTTGAAAACATCCACCAGGAACTCGTGTCGCAGGCTAATTGCAGCCATGAAGGTGCCGCTGTGTGGTTCGTAGCCAGCCTCTTCAAAGTACATCGTCGCCTTTGAGATGGCCTTCTGCGCGGTGGCGCGCAGCTGTCTGAGTCGCACAATGTGCAGCTCACGCTCCAGCGGGGAACGCGTCCAGAAACTTGAGCACGTTCCCTGCACATAGATGCTGAGGCAGTTGCCGAGTATTGAGACATACATCTTTGAAAGATCGCTCGACCACCGAATGTTCGGGATGAAAAAGGCTGCCAAGCCGAATCCAAGCGCGATGAGCAGCGTGATGAAGTAGTCGCCAACAAACTTAATGCCCGTTCCGGCAGGATCAGACTGCAGCTGCATCAGGAATACGGCGAGACAGTACGCACACGTCTTTTTCACCTGCTCCGCAAAGAAGGAGGTGAAAAGCACGAGCAAGAAGAGAAGCATGAGAATCAGCCACGAACGCCTTGGATCAATAGCAATGACGATCAGGAGCATTACGAGGCTCAGCGCGTACCCTTTCAGGGCGATGATAAACTCCCGTAACCCCGAGCCAAAGGTGGGCATCGTGATCCAGAATGCAAGAAATGCCACAGATGATGGCAGAGGGAAAATGTCGGCGGTTGCCGGTTCCAGCGTGAGGATCATAGTTGGAAGAACGGTGAAGAGCGATGCACGTACTGTCCAATCCAACTTCTCCCAAAATAATGGTGCAGAGAAGATGTTAAACGTCTTGATGCCAAAGCCGGTAAGGGGGATGAATGACCGCTGGTCCCACGGGATGGCGTGTAGGGCGGTAGTTGCGTGCTCCTTGAAGTGCCGCTCCTCATGCTCCTCCTCATCGCCGCCAGGGAGGGGTTGGGGGCCTCGGTTATTTCTACCACCACCACCACCACCACCACCACCGCCTCTTCCACCCCCACCTCCACCTCTACCTCCTCCACCACCACCACCACCACCACGCCCAAACAGTGAGGGTGTGCCTTTCGGCGCGGCTGTTTCCGAGGCAACCAGAACAGGCAAAGCGGTATCCGTTGCGAAGAGTGGCGGTGGCCGCGGTTTCTCCTTTTTCTTCACACCAAAGAGTGACATAAACATGTCTTCGGCATGATTACCGAGCTTCGCCTCCTTTGGCGTCAAGTTTCCAAGGTTCATCGAGCTACTTTTGGCGTGGACGCTGAAGCGTCCCCCACCCGTCCCGGTGGAGGAGCCACCGGGAGAGCCACCAGATCCAGCAGGGGGCCCTCCTGTCGCTGGCCCTGGGAGGCGCGTGTTGTGCTTCGCCCGTATTCGCACATGCCGCCCGACAAACTGATCTGCAGTACTTTCACTGATCGAGGCGGCCCGCATCTCCATGCGGGGCGTCATGGGCGATCCACCGCTGACTTCTGTCGCGCGTGTGCCGGCAGAATGTGACGAGAGCGCAGCGGACTGTGGGTAGGCACCACAGCTTCGTCCGACAGGACTCATTCCCCCAAAGGCCCCCATATCCGAAGAACGCAGGCGGCCCATAGCCTTCCGCTGCCAATTTGGCTGGCCCCTATCGGCGGGAAGGACCCGATCCAAGAAATTGTCATCTCGCGTCCTCATATCGTCTAGCTGCATGCGTTCCGTCGCAGAAATCCACGTAGGCGCACCTGATCTCGTTGCCCGATCTGCCCGCACATTCGTCGCCGTCATAGGTCTTTTGGAATGTACAGAGGACCCAGCGGCGCCGCTGCGAAAGTCTGCAGATGATATGGTGCGGAAGCTGGGGCCCAAGACTTGTGCCCCCAGTGACTCCGGCGCGACGTAGGTTGACTTGGGAGATACCTGCAGAGAGGCTATATCACCCATGGATCGGACACGCTTTATTTTCGCATCTTTCTTGGCGCGTGGACTACTGGTTTGCTGCGGAACATGCACCCCGCGGACGCTGACGACCGCAGGAGACCTCATTTCCGCATATATACCGTTTGACCCGCTCGAGTCGTTCAGTACAGGTGTTACACTCCTCGTCGAATCGCCGTACAAGGAGACAGGTGAGGCGCGAACGCCAAAAGAGACTTCACCGGCATCACCCAAAGAAAATCCACGCATGGCAGGCCCTAACTCGCTTGGCATTTGTGTTGGGTTGCGAGCGCGCGTCTGTAACGGCTGCAGCAAGGCCGATGCCTGTTGTGGATCCAATGTTTGTGCCAACGGCGTGGGTTGCAGATCCACCGTATTTTCAGCCGCAGGATAAGGAGCAGGTGAACGAAGAGGAGCAGAAAATATCACAGGTGTAGGTAAACTTTCGGGCGTAGCTGCAAGTGTAGGTGCAGCTGGAGTTGGAGCTGGAGTTGGAGCTGGAGCTGGAGTTGGAGCTGGAGTTGGAGCTGGAGCTGCCTCTTGAAACACACTCTCTGACGCTTGAATCTCAGGTGCATGACCTTCCTGCACTTCGAGAGCCCGTGTCGATACGAAACTTTGATTCTCGGTAACGCTTCCTGGGCCCCGAATGTGATCGCTCCCTGGCGCCAACGTGCTGCCCGCAGAGGCGCCGAGTCCCGGCCCGCCACTTGCCAACAAATCGCTCAGATGTCCGTCAAGAAGAAAACGCTCAATGGCAGCGGACTGCGCAATGTCAATGCGAGGCAGCCCGGATGATCCCATCCGAACTCCTCCTGTATTAAGACTGGAGGGCACCAGCGGCATCGTCTGAGACACACTCCCCTCCGTCAACGGCGTTGACGGTTCAGACGAACTCATTGCTCCTTGTTTCTCCCTCTATTTTGTTGTCGTTGTGCGTGTGTAAACCACCACCTCTGGCAATTATTTTACCTGTGTCGCTGTATTTACGGGGCAGACGTATATAACTTTTTTTCTTTTTCTTTTTTTTTTTTTGGTTTTGGTACGAGCAAGATATATCGCTCTTGCTCCCTCCCTATATCTCTCTCACACTACCTCTCACCTTGTCAAGAGCACCGACGACGACGACGACAAAAACAACACTAATAAGGAAAATGTGCGCCCCCTTCTCCTTTTTTTTTTCCTTGCCTTTTTTTTTTTTCGTAATATGTGGAAGGTGGGCACGACCTCCGAGTGGGTGTGATGTGAGTTCTCTCTGCACAGTCCCCCCACTCTATTCACCCCAACGAAAAGACGACTCCACTCAAATAAACTATCAGAAAGAAAAGCAACGCGGAGCATACATTCGCATACACAGATGGTATGAACGCACTTCCAATAAGATGAAGACACCACAGAAGTCTCACAAAAAGCGGTTGAAAAGGTAAAGCTGGGAGATTTTCACCAGAGAACTACATAACAGTTAGAAGGAAGGAAAAAAGAAGGAAGGAAGGAAGGAAAGGAATTCACATACCTCACACTCCTTACTCCAGCCTCCCTTACTGCTGTAGTTTCACCTCTTCATGGTGTTTTTGAGCCCACTACTACCTTTACTCACCCGCCTGCCCGCTCCCAGTCATTCAGAAAGGCAAAAAAAAAACAAGTGGTCGCCTACTGAAGCGGAGGCGTCTCGTGTGAATCACCTCTTTGGATGCAATGCAGCTATCGCCAGTGCCGCGTTTCCCGTGCGCCACCGATACGTAAAGTATAGATTCCATCTTGCGGCCCGCTGCAGAGCCAGCGTACATTGCTCAGGAACACTGTACTCGTATGCTACCTGCTCATACAGTGGAATGGCGAGGTGGTGCAAGCCGAGGTACTGGAATGCTCTGGCGCAGTTGTACACCGCCTCTCCCAGGCGCTGCGCATCAATAGCGCACACCGTTTCTTGATACCTAGCGAGATAATGCCACCCAGCAACCACACAGGCGTCCCGCGCCCGTATCTTCTTCTGGTGGCTGATGAGCATGTACGACAGACCCACTAGAAAGCAAACAAGGACGTCGTTGGGGCGCTTTTGTAGGGCAGCAAGGTACAAGTTGAGTGCGCGTATGTACGAACGGCGAAGGAAGTAGCGATTCCCGAGCAGGATAAGCATTGGTGGGTCAGCTTGGTTGCGGTCTGCGACAAGGCGGAGCAGAATGGCGCTGCCATCCTCCACGCGGTTCAACACACTGAACAGCAGCTCAACCACACGATTTTTTTCTTCCTCACTGCATTGCTCTTGGAGAAGACGGATGCCCACGCGGTAGGCGTCCTCGCTTTCCTGTGATGCCAACGCTGCACGCAGCACGGCCCAGCGGAGCGGCCGCTCAAGGGCACCGACGTGGCGAAATATGCTCGTCCGCGGGCACCTGGTGAGGATGACAAATGCAAACTCCTTTGCCTCCGTGAACTTTCCAATTGCGGTGTAGCAGTCAATCACAGTGACGGCGAGCTCGACAAATCCGGCCCGTCCAAGGACCCCTAATGCGTCTCGAACCGTCACTCGCATGCTAGAGGGCGCTGGTGGAAAATTTAAGCCACTACTACCACCTCCCTCACCAACATTAAGGCCGCCGGCATCTAGAGGCAAGGCTGCAGGGGCAGCAGCAGCAACGGGTGCAACTCCGCTAGGGTCCCATGGATTATGTGGCGCCACAGGTGCGTCATTGGTAGATGCCTGCATGAACAGTTCTCGCATTGCCGGGTCGTTAAACTGCTTGCTCACTTCTTCGAGAGAGGGGAGTTCGTAGTGCGCGGCGGTGCCGTTGTCGTCATCCTCCCCTACATCACGCAGTGCCTCCTCCAACTCGGTGAGATCCCGTTCGTCCAACCCCTCCTCCTTCACTTTATGCCCCTTGTCACCACATGCCTCATCCTCCTTTTCGGTCTTGACACCCGAAGCTTCCTTGTCCTTGCCTTTCTCTTCGTCAGACTCCTTCCAGAAGGACTCTACCCCGAGATGTGTTACCTCTTCGACGCGTCGCCGCCTCTTCGCGAGCTGTCCATCTTCCTCCACATCCTCACTTTTTTCGATGTTGTTGGTGTTGTTCTTTTTGGTGCTATTCTCCTCCTTGTCCCCCGCATGGCGGGGCCGCTTTGTTGGTTTGTTCTGGCGATGAAAGCGGAAGATTGTCGAGCTGTCTTTGAGCCGCTCCTCCTCATCGGCGCGTGCCCACCCCGCTGCTGTTGACGCTGCTGCGGAGGCGCCATAGATGGAGTTTGTCAGTGGTGCACTCCCGCGGCGGGCCAAGTTGGAGCGAAACGTGGCGCTCGCAGCCCTGATGGACGTGGCAAGTGTGTGTGAGAGGCGTCCCATCGAGGAAGCCGCCATACTTGTCAGACGTGGTCCATTAACGATTTCGGATATGGCAGATGGTGGAATAATGGCGGAGCTTGCGCGCGACAGAGTCGGCATCGACAACGGTGCGCTGCTGCGCCTCGACGAACCGGGTGCAACGGACTCCGTATCACCGTCTTCTTCTCCAGAGAGGATAAGCTCGAAGATGGAGACGCCGAGTGCAATGGCCTCCACGTACTTCTCTGCCCGCGCAAAGACGCGCACGAGCTCCGCGCCGAGTTGAATCCGCTCCAGCGGCGGCTCGTCCTCGCGTGGAGTGAGGACCACTACCGCCTGATCCGTGTCCTTGAGTTCGTACACGTACATGCGGCCAAGGGCAAGACGTGCTTGCAGATGTGTCGGCTCCACCTGCAGCACGCGGAGGAAGTCGTTGTAGGCCACCTCTGTGTTGCCCAATGAAGCCTCACACTGGCCCTCTGCGAAGAGCGCCGCAGCGAAAACGGTTTTCACCTCCGACATCTCCTCCGCATCCACATCGGCGTCACCTTCGGCGGTGCTTCCGCTGCTTGAGAGGCGGAACTCGTGGTAGCGGCGAAGAGTCTGAAAGATCAGGTGGGCCTCGGTGTGCAGCCCAACCTGTTGCAGCGCGTTGGCAGCGTCGTAGAGCACATCGCCGTACTCTGCCATGGGGCAGGTGTCGACTATGTGGTGGAACACCTCACGGCACTGTTGCTCGAGGCCACCCAGGTACGCATACGCCACACCGAGACGAACAAGTAAGTCGGGCGGAAGCTCCAGTAGCTGGACCTGCATACAACCTGCAGTGAACTCCATGAGTCGCACTGTATCAAGAAAGTGCCCCTCTTCATTGAGTAACTCCGCGTGCACATTCACGAGGGTGAGGAAGTTCTTCTTGGCCGTCGGTGTCTGAAGTTCAATGGTGTCGCCGTAGAGGGAGTGTACCACCGCCGATGGGGTCGTATCTACAACCGTCTTTGTTGGAGGAGCTCCGCTACTACCTGTCATGTTCGAGAAGTCAAAATCATCCTCCTCCTCCTCCTCCTTTGCCATCCCTTCCACTGGCACAGCAGATGCAGAAACGCTAGCAGACGCGTAGCTTGTCCCCTCCTTATGCTGCTCCTTCTCCCCCACTTCCGTAGTGTCGTTGTTGTTGTTATTATTAATATCTGCATCGTTATCGTCGTCAATGCCAAAGAAGCGCACCCGCTTCGAGGTTCTCCGCTTTGTTGTGGATGCGACGGTACCGACCTCACCTTCGCCGCCGTAGGTGGCTGTGCCTCCTACACCGGTATCTGCAGCGGAAGGGTCAAGCTGTTTTCTCTCCGCCTCTATCGCAGGAGTGGGACGGAAGGCACTTTTCAGACTCGACTCAATCAAGCGGTGCAGAGAGTTCCACCGGCCAAGCTGAAAGAAAAGAGACGAGAGCAATGCAAATACTTCAAAATCACGACAACGACTCCCATTCCAGAGTGGAATTAGAATGTTCGCCGCCCGCTTCACCTCTCCGAGTCCAATGTACAGGTCAGCTAGTTGCAGTTGTAATGTACGGTAGCGCGTTTTATCCTTTGTTTCTAACGCAGATAACCTTTGCAAGCATACCGCAGATTTATAATACAGCTGCTCCTGCAAGAACTCATGCAGCAGCTCCTCCCACAGCACCGTATCGTTTGCTAGAAATGCCTGCAGCAGTCGAAAGTCACTGGCCCGATCGCGATGCCCTTTAGACTCGGCAATGACAGCAAGAAGGGCAAATAGGTGATCTGTGGGATGAATACGCAATGCCAGCGTCGCCTCTCGTTCCGCTCCATCTTTGTCGCCCTGGAGAAAAAGATTTTGTGCCTTTGCCACATGCTGCTCAAAGCGTTTGTGGAGTTCAGCGCTATTGAACGCTGATCTGCCTGTTCGTCGGCGCCTCTTCGGTTCCGATTGTCTTTCAACAACCCCAAGAAGAGGGTCTTGTGGATTGGACGCCATCTCTATTCGTGTTTATTCCCGTCAGCTATGAAGGCCCCACCAGGATGACAAGTCTATATTGTGAAGTTACCTGCACACACCTTTCCACCGTCGCCTTCCTTGTTTTCCTTTCTTTATATGTACAGGTATGTGTCTTCGTGCCTGTGTACCTTGGATTTGGTCCAGCCCGTGCGCACCCGCCACGTAGTCTAAAGGTAACCTCTACCCACTGCTGGAGAGTTGATTACCCTCAACAACACAAAAAAACACCTTACATGAATGAAAAAGAAGAACGGTAGCAAAAGGCAAACCAGATCCACAGTTTCATTCGCATTGCGCACGCGCATTATGTCTTTAACCCCACGCGGTGCACCACCTTCTTCAGCCTATTAAACCACCATAGAGCATGGAGACAGAGTTCATAGTTTACCATTCTGTGTTGCTGTTTCGGTTTGTTGTTGCTTTTTTTTTTGCTATTTTGCTCTTGTTGTTGTTGTTGTTGTTTTTGTCTCTCCTGGCGCTCCTGGTCGCTTTTCATTCTTTCCCCTCATCCTTGGCAAAGGTGTGAAATGGGTGTATGCATTGGGTGGTGAAAATAGGGCGGGTGAGGGGCACGCAACGCCCACAGGCACAAGAAAATGTCAGTCCTCCCCGCACCACCAATGAGCTCAGGCACATAGGAAGAACTGCCGCACGGCAAGGGAAAAAGACGCCCAAAGGGTGAAGTGTGTCGCTTCACCCCATACCTCTCCCTGCCTCTTGTATTATAGCCCCACCCCCTACAAACACACACACACACACACAGACAAACATGCATACACCCGCACGCACATATACACACCTTCGCCCCCGTCGCAATCAGGTTCCTTCAGTGCCACTAACTCTGTGGCCTGTCTCGGCTCCTACACCTTTGAAGCGCCAAGCTTGCTGTAGAAGTGGAGCAGAATGACGCTGAGAACGAACACCCCGGTTCCGACAAGCACGTGAAAAGGCTGAACCATAAACCCAGTAAGTTCTAAATCGTTCACACCCGGATGTGGCACCCCCTTCTTCTGCATCATTTTCATCTTTTTCTTTGTTGATCTTCACTTCGTTGCTCACAAGATCGGTGTGTTCAGGATACCGTAACGGGAAAAAAAAGAGAAAAGAGAATGAGAAAAAGGCACTACAACGACGCATTGTGATGAGGAGAAGAGAGAACGCAAAAGAAGAAAGAAACACGAGATCTTCCCGGTGCAAAAACAAAAAAAAGTGACGGGCAAACTCTGCCTCCGTCCTACGACCGAGCAGAGAACGACGTAACTGAGATGCAATCAATCCCGTCCATACTGTACACCGCAGAAGACTAAAAGAAGAACAATAATAATCACAGAACAGAGGAAAGGGGGGAAAAAAACATCCGAGAGAGGCATCTGCACGCTTTAACACAGGCTGATAGCCCCAGTACTTCGAAAGGTGGCAAACATCTTCCCCTTTCCTTTTCTATTGTGTCACATGGTGTGTGTGTGTGTGTGTGTGTATGTGTGTATGTGTTTCATTCCGGCATGAAGGCGAGCTTCCCCTTTTCCTCCTTCTTCTGACCTACTTGCTGAGATGTCAACTCAGCGAGCTGCTTTTCCTTGTCAAGGAGAGCACGCAGCAATTCCTTGCATAGGAGTGCCTCCTGCCCAGCAAGCTGTTCAAATGGATGAGTCTTGGAAGGATGCACACTAACTGCAGCATCACAGATTGCCTTCAGAAACGACTTGCCACACGTTGAAGAAGAGCTTCCTACGGCTCCAGTGGTTTGTACGCCCAGAGTGGTGTGCGTATTGCTTCGTGTGTCGCTACTTGACGGCCGCCCATCACCTTCCGTCCACTCTTCCATATCCCGCTGCGCTCCCCCGCTACACACCCTATTATCTTCTTCCTGTGTCTTCCTTGGAGGGTCGCCTTGCTTGGCTTCACCCAAGAGCGAAGGGACACCAGAGACATCCAAATCAAATGTGGCGGAAGGACTGATGGATGGGTCACTTATGTTGATGGTAGAGTTCGCAGGCACATTGTCGACCGTGGCATGATTGGCTGCAGATTCTGAGCAGTCTTGATACGATGGCACCTGCTGTTCCTGAACAAATGAGAAGGTTGAAACACCTGTTCGGAAGGTTCCTTCCTCCTCCTTCACTACTGGTTGAGGTATAGGTGGTGGCTGTCGACGCGGTGTTGGTGTTACAAGCATGGATGTCGGTGAAAGCCCCTCTGATAAGTGATCTTCTCTCATGCCCTTAGAAGGTGAACTTCTTGTCGATAGCCTCGTCACTGAGACATTTTGAGTGTCGTGAGCCCACTCCAGTCGTTGATTGAGAGCCTGGCACATACTTTGTGCCTCATTAAGCTCACTCCGCGTGCGGGCGTGATTCAGCCGTTCTTGCTCTAATTCAGCCCTCACCTTCTCGAGTTCCTCTCTACTCTCTTCGTAAGATGCCAGTTGGTCTGACAGCACGCGTCGCTGCCACTCCATATTATCTTCATTTGCCTTTGCCAAGTTCGCGGCATGGCGCACTTCTAGTTCTTGTATCTCTATGTGGCAACGCGACTCAAGGTCTGTCTTCTCCGCTATAGTCAAACGAAGTTGCGACTGCAGGTCTTCCAGTTCGGCGTCCCGACCACGGAGTGCGTCATGGCAATCGCGAAGCTCCCGCTGTAGGTCCACATAATCTAATATCGACTGGTGGCTATGAATACAGCAGCTTTCCGGACACGGTGGAGGTGGAGGCTTCACATCCGTCTCCTTCTTCTTCTCTACGCCAATGGTTTTCTTTCGGCCAGACAAATCAATGCGCTCTATTGCCGGAGGACATGACAGAGATACACGTTTTTTCGATGGTGCTTGTTGCTGCCTTGATTCTGCACGACCAGCTGAGGCCCCGCCCAAATGTCCCTTTTGCTGCTCAAGAGCACGCTCCGTGGTCGCATGTACTGATGTATTTGGCTTCGATGAGCCTCGTTCTTGATCGGGAGTCGTCCGACGCAGCGGGCCCGATACGCCTTGATTATTGTGTGCTACCCTTTCAACACTCTTATCACGACTTTTTTCGGCTGTCCTCAGCTCCTCTTGTCGGTATCGCCCCAGCAAAGGAGTGGCTATTGTCGTGNACGACTTTTTTCGGCTGTCCTCAGCTCCTCTTGTCGGTATCGCCCCAGCAAAGGAGTGGCTATTGTCGTGGTGTGTCCCCTCCGCCCCTTCACATGAAGATTCCCCTGAGAAGAGTCTCGTCTATCCCCACTGCATGAGATTTCTATGCGCCGCGGCGAGCATGACTTACGCGAGTAGCCGCCTTCATCAGGAAGAGGTGGCGGCGATGCACGACGCTTGAATAGCGTTGTAGGGTAGTAACTGTAGCCACCAAAGGAAGACTTATACAACGCTAACTGCCCTTGGTCCTCAATTTCAGCATCACTCTCGTTGTTGGGGCCTCTTGTATCAAAAGTATGCCGCATGAAATCTTCTCTTGCAGCTTAATAAATGTATAATAAATTCAAGAAAAAAAAAATAAATGGTGTTCCAAGAACGAAAAAAAAAATGATGTTCAGCTATCTCTGCGCTTGTCTGTTATAACAACCCAGTATCATCCATGAACACAGAGAACAGGCATTTAATGAAGGCATGGCCTCCATCCTCAAAAAAACATTCCTACATAGAGTTGTCTTAATTTCATCCGCCCGCTCACCCTCCAAAACAAAAAAATCCCTATCCGTTTCTATTACGAAACCTCCCATTTGCTTCAGAAAAGAAATTAATTTGCTGGTCTTAAGCAACTTTGTATCACAAAACCGCCTCTTAAAGACGAGAGCGCTCATTGAACAAATTGATAAGACCGTTTGTTGATGAATCATGGTTATTCACCTTGGATCCAGTCTTGAGCTGGGGAAGAATTGACTTGGCGAGTACTTTGCCTAATTCAACACCCCACTGGTCGTAGCTGTTAACACCCCAGATGGCTCCTTGTACAAGGACCTTGTGCTCGTACGCAGCGATGATAGCTCCCAATGCACGCGGAGTGAGGGCATTGACCAGCAAAGAGTTGCTGGGGCGTCCTCCGGTGAATGTCTTATGAGGAAGGAGTGCGTGAATTTCCTCTTCCGATTTCCCCCCAGCAGCAGTCAGCTCCTTTCGCACTTCCTCAGGGCTCTTTCCAACCATCAGCGCCTCCGTCTGTGCAAAGTAGTTGCTCATCAGGATGCGATGATGATCCCCAATGCGATTTTGGCTGTGAACAGCACCAATGAAATCACATGGAATCAACTTGGTACCTTGGTGAATGAGCTGATAAAAGGCGTGTTGGCCATTTGTACCAGCCTCACCGAATATTATAGGACCAGTCTGAGTTGACACCACATGTCCATTCTTGGTAGCACCCTTACCATTACTTTCCATGTCAAGCTGTTGAAGATATGCTGGCAGCCTCCAAAGGTACTGATCATATGGTAGAACTGCCTGAGTCTCGGCACCAAAGAAGTTGTTGTACAAAACTCCAACCAGGGCAAGAATGATGGGCAAGTTCTGGCTTGTTGGCGCATTGATGAAGTGTTCGTCAATGATGTGAGCACCAGTCAGCATCTCCACAAAATTGTCGTATCCAATAGATATCATTAAAGGCAAGCCGATGGCCGACCACAGCGAATACCGGCCACCAACCCAGTCCCAGAATTGAAACATGTTGTCTTCATCAATACCGAACTCCTTAACCTTCCATGTATTGGTTGAAAGTGCAACAAAATGCTTGGCAACGGCACCGTTTTCACTTATGCCACGAGAATTCAGAAAGGTCAGTAATGCATTTCGTGCGGAAATAGCATTGGTAAGGGTCTCTTGTGTGGTAAATGTCTTGCTTGCAACGATGAAAAGCGTTGCTTCAAGATCAACCACCTTCAAGACCTCTGCCAAGTGTGTTGCATCGACGTTGGAGACAAAGTGCATTGATATATTTCTCTGAGAGAAGGGTCTCAAGGCCTCCGTAGCCATCACAGGTCCAAGGTCACTCCCTCCAATCCCGATGTTCACAACATGACGGATACACTTGCCGGTATGGCCCTTCCACGCGCCGCTCCTCACCTTGTCTGAGAAGTCCTTCATCTGTTGAAGCACGTGGTTCACAGCGGGCATCACATCCTGCCCATCCACCATAATAGAGCGATTGCTGCGATTGCGCAAGGCAATATGAAGTACAGCGCGATTCTCGGTTGTGTTTACACTTTCACCGTTGAACAATGCTCGCATATATGCCCGAACACCGCGCTCCTCAACGAGTGCAAAAAGTGCATCCCTCATTTCATCATTGATATGTGTTTTTGAGTAATCCAAAAGGAAAAAGTTTTTGTCCATGCTCTTCAGGTCCACCTCCACCGAATACCGCTTGAACCGCTGCGGATCATTTTCAAAAAGCTTCAGAATGCTTTCAGAACCGCAGCGTTCGTATAATTCCTGAAGGCGGCGCCATGCGGAGCATGATATCAGGCTGTTATCGGGCTCAGCACCGATGCCTTTCATCCGTCGTATCACCTCGTGTGCCTGATTAAAAGACGAGACAGCTATGCTAGCGTTCCCTGGCGGAGCACTGCTCGCATTTACATGGGCAACCAGAGCATTCACGTATTGGTCCATGGCTTATGTATTGCAGAAGAGAATAGTAAAACTTTTTTTTTTTTGCTTCAAGCAGCAGGAGGGGAAGAAGCAAGTAGTAGAACCCTTACCTTTTTGCAGTCAGAATTCAATTCCATTGGTACATAAATCAAACGAAATCACTCAGTAGGCAGAGACTGCAAAAAAAAAGCTCCTGCGTCAAAGCATTTTACTATCTCAGACCGAGAGCCCTGCTGATTTTCTCAAGAACATAATCCTTCTCAGCATCGTAGACACCTCCTTTACTCGGAATCTCAAGAACGCAGGGAATAGGTTCCTTGTGTTCTTCAATCAGATGACGGATGTCATTCGCTATATGTTGACATATTATAATAACGCCAATAGCATCATTGGCGCACATGTTAGTAAAGGCTGTTTCAATATCCACCAAAGGTGTAGTGGGATTGACCACTACATAGTTCGATGGAGCACCCTCCTTTTTTCCGGCATTCGGCTGAGCAGCAGCTGTTCGATTATCACCAGTACCGGCCAAAAGGAAACCGGTAACGGTATCCTCATCCCCAATAATGCCGACGATGCGCTCATCTCCGTTCTTGTAACGAGCTGTAGCCATTATTCCTACCTGTTTTCTGGCAAGAGAAATTATTTAACAAAATTAAGGAATCCGAGAGACTAATCTAGATGTATCTCAGCAAGAGGAGACAGCACATGGAAATTTGTACTTCAGATTGTTCACAGGTATTCTCAACTTTCAGTCACTCCCCACGGAACGCAAGCACCTTTGAGTCCCAATCACTGTAGCAAGGCTCCTTTGTCTGTCGGCCACCAAAATCGTCACGCAGCAAATCTAATGAAAGTAAAACACCGCCATTGGGCTGAGCCGTCACGGCAGAAGCACCTTGCAGGGCATCTGTTTTCCCATCATACTTTAAAGAGCTACTGGCCAATAGGTGGTTAAGCACCAAGTCCTCATCGACGAGAAAAACATTCTCCTCCCCCTCAACCAGCTCAAGGCGCCTAGCCATAAACTCGTCTTTCGGAACTTGCAGTGCAGGGTAGAAACCGTCCAGACGGTCTTCTGCTCTACCATCCTTATTGAACGAGACAAACGTTCGGCGCATAGCCTTGATGAAAAACAGAAAGACATCAAGGAAATGATAATGTGTCCGGGTTGATTCTAACACATAAAAAAAAACACTTAACTATCATAGTGAATAGCGAACTTGATCGCTTTGAGAACCTCAACTAAACAAACCAAACGCAGCTTGTTTTTCACCTCCCAGTTACGCAGCACTAAAACACTGATTATAGAAGTTCATAATGCACTTTAGCGGTCATAACGATCAGGCAGACGGACCCATTGGACCTTCTGTTGGGGAGATGTCACCTGGGTTTTCCTAAAACGGGCCACGGGGCACTCTTCCATTACCTGTTCCCCGAGATGCTCAATTTGCTTCGTTGTTGCATTTGGTGCATCTACTACTATTCTTATACCTCCCTCTGGTGTCTTCTCAAAGCGTATGTCCCGGATTTCAACCCCTTGACGCCGTGCAATGTCGCGTGCGTGAGCCTCACTGCACCACTCCAGTGCCTTGTCAAAAAGCCCTCCCAAGGGACCTCCAAACATTCCGCTCCCACTGCCTCCCCCAGAACCAGAGTCACTTCTGTCAGTTGAGCCGCCTCCAGATGGGCCCGAGCCTCGCGAATCTGATCCCAAACCACCCATAAAATTAGTAGGGAACCCTCCTTGAAAGGACTGAAGGCTAAATCCAGGACTTGACAAGGAAAAACCCCCATACTCCTTCGGATTGCATCCTTTACCAGGACAACCTCCTCTATTTCCCGTAAAAAGTCCGAACAACTTGGAACTGTCAAACCTCTTAACACAACTAATACTTGAGCGCCGCAACATGTCTATTATTTTCCTAATCATAGAAAGAGCCCAATAAAAAAAGCAGAATAGGCAACAACACAAGTTGGATCCGAACGAAAATATACCACAAATAGAAATATATATATATATATATATACAATAAAACACGTATAGAAAGCAAACCAGAAACCCACCCTGCTAGAAAACAAAATCCCCCCAGTTGAATGCACCAACCACCCCCCAAAGCCTCCAAACTTCGCGCGCGCGCGCGCAGGATCAGGGGCTACCCGCTGGCCAAAAGCGTGGCCGCGGCCCCACAAGGCACAGCAACCACACAAAACCCCAACCCCCGCCACCCGATCACAAGAAGACAACCGGACCTTTTTTTTTTTGGAAACGGAAACGGCGCGCGAGAAATACCCTCCTCCCTCGCGACCCTGCAAAAAAAAGAACATGGTCGAGCAGCGAATCCGAAAAATTCCGGTGCCGGGGATCGAACCCGGGTCTAGCGGGTGAGAGCCGCTTGTTCTAGCCACTATACCACACCGGATGCAAGCAAACTCAAGTTTTGCTATAAAATATTAAACCTTACAGCGTCAAATGGAAGACGGCAAAGCCACGGAACCTGACCCAATTACCCATAGGGTACGAGACGGGACCGGAAATGTTGCAGATCTTAACTTCTGCAAAAAACGGGATTTCTGTTGGTGGCGCACCCAAAATGAGAAGCGCTCTCGAATAAGCGAGCGGAGATGCGGAAGGAGAGCGCTCGACTCTCAGAAAGAGAACCGGATATTTTCGCATTGGAAGAGAAAACCTGCTTATGCAAAGCCTAAAGCGACGCGAGAATTGGAGGGAGAGAGTCCGGAGCCCATCGGTACACATTTTGGGGTGTTTATTTTGATCATAAAGATAACGTGGTGGTTCAAATTGAAACATACTAAAATTCATTAAGCTTTTTTCCACCACCGGAGGAAACAACGGCTGTCAGCGAGGAAGCCTTGGCGTCTCGATTTCTGGACGCTGCGGCGGTGCTTGGCATCGGTTTGTTTACATTTTTTTTTTGTGAGCTTGCGAAAGGAATGGTTAAGCCTTATCCTACTTGCTAAAAGGGAATCCCATAATCCATCATAATACGTGTCTTCTTATCTTGCGTAAGGAAAGTGTCGCAAAGTGTAAGTTTGAAACGAAAGGTAAGACACAAGGATTACAATGTTACCCACCAACCCCCAGAAGGCCCTCATGGATGTGGAATGGATGATGGGCCTCTCGGCTCTCAGGGCGTTCATCGAATATTGCGGACAGACCCCGTTTTCGTT